TCTACACATTTGACCAAAAAATTCTCCTTTGTTTTTACCGACGGAAACCCTCTTAACTCTTTTCCAATTTCTAGTCTTGATGTCGAAATCTCAGCCACTGTGTAGTGTCATCTCCGCCGTTTTCCTTCACGGCGTAATTGCGACTCTAATCTCCAAGTTCAGGTAAATGCTAATCTCAAACCAATTCTGTTTTCTAAAGCAAACCCTAACCTTCTCGATTACGAACTAAACATCCATAATTTTGCCTCACAGCAACTCTCTTGACTTCTCTCTTCCTATTAGATTCAGAAACCCTAACCTTGTCTCTTTGTTTTAGCTTATGCGACTTCGTCTGTCAGGACAGCCTCCGAATCTCAAGAAGTAAGCTCTTTGTTTTCCTGATGTTTTGAGTTTCGAGTTCTGATTACATATCTTCACCGTTTTTGTGTTTTCTAATTTGTTGTCTAATTTGTTTCATTTGATGCAGGTACATGGATGATAAACTCCAAAGTAAGTTTGATATCTTCATCTACGTTTATCTATTGAGAAGTTTTTGTTTCATCTATAATCTTCTCTGTGATTTAATTTGATTGCAACTACTTCACATATCTTTGAAAGATAGAGAGAGGAGAACGATAATGTGTGTCTCTAGGCTTTTAATATGTTAATTGTTGGGATTTTGCATTCCATGAATCAAACTGGCTATCTTTGTTTGAAGAATCTCGTATTGTTTGTTTGGTAGAGTAGATATCTTTGTATTGTTTCATTTTAAGCAAGAGTGGTGTCTAGTTGGAGTTTCTTTATTAGACTATCACCTTGTTTTATGCCTTCTGATTGATCTATTAGTATTTGAAAGGCAGTCAAGCTTAATGCTAACCGAATGGTTGTTGGAACTCCTTGTGGGTTTGACCAGTTCATGAATCATGTTGTCGATAACACAGTGGAGGTGAACGGTAACAACAAAACAGACATTGGAATGATGGTAAGTCGCTTGATATTGTTTAAGAGAATCTTCTTGTTACCAATCATATGTTGGTCTTTAATGGTGTTTAATTATTCTCTTACTGTAATTGCGAGACTGCAAACACCACAAATATATTTTTGCTTCTTCTTCTTCAGCCCTCAAATCTCATTGCTCATTCCCTGATCTAGATTGATCGATTTCTCACAATTGTTCACCGCTTGCAGAACTAAGCAAGAGCTTATGATGGAGATCGCTTCTCTTTATGGGATTCATTTGGAGTTTAATGTTTCTGCCTTAAAGTCTTTTCCTTTCTAGTTAAATCTTCTGTAAAATCTTGACTTTTGACAATATTTCGGCAATATATAGATCTATGGAGAGTCCTAAAGAATAAGTGGTCTCAAATTATTCTATAGAACACTAATTGATGTAGTAATCAAAAGTCTTTCATTCGGTCTCATTTCAATTTATAGGTTTACAATCTGGTAAGTTATGCAATTAACTCTTGTTAAGCTATAAGATCTAYTGAGATTTATAAATTAGTGCATTCGTGTATATTGGAATRATGGTGGAGGGRTTAAATTTATTATGAAGTTCTCTTGTTTGATGATCAAATCCCCATTTTTGTGTGTGGTTCTTATGAGTATGTTTTAGTTTCAGTTTTGAGATAACTTGTGGCTGATTTAAGAGTAATTAAATAATTATGTAAGTTGATTGTTTTTTCTGACCTTCAATGACTCTGTTAGATTATGTAGAGGTGGCACTCGACTCAAATGCTCCATTGTTGATCCACAATTGTGGGCAATGTGTATGAAAAACCAGCGGAAGTGCATAAATTCTATCATGAGGATAGTTTTTAGGTTGTACGGGTTCTGATGGAGAGATGGTTTCTGTCAAATCCTTGAAAAGTAAGTGAGTTTCTATTGGATTAATYGAAAAAKAACCAAGTATGGTCATGGTTCYGGTGTTTATATCACCATCATTCTTATGTTAATGCAGCAAGGCTGTCTCCTCTGGTGACCCTCATGATGCTCTTAGTGATGTCAATCTGCAAGTTAAATTGAATGATACAAGACATGCTTGGAAATAGTTCTATGTGGTTGCTTACAAGGTATATTCACTTGGCTTTTGATGTTTTGGTACTATAGAGGGTTGAATTTTTATTTGTCAATACATGTTTTTCTGTTAAAGATGATTCGACATGGCTTGACCTTTCTATCTCTTGGAGTTTGATAAGTGGGTAGAGAAATGAATATCAGCAGCCATAACACCAAACTTGAGCTTTCTGTTAAGGATGATTCGACATTAGCACTTGTTGTGTATGATTAGCAAATGTGTTTATTTAACATTTGRTTTCGATTATAAATTTGTAAGACTTGTTATGTTTTTTCTTATGAAGTAATAACATATTTAAATATATATTGTTGGGCGAATTTAATC